ACCCCCCCTAGGATCGATCGGGGATCTCACAGTGTAGCTCTACTGACACAGAGACCGTTGATGTTGGGCTCGTGCAGGTTGATCTCACGAGGGTGAGGGCTGCGGCGAACCCATGGTCGTCCGTCCAGGTGCTCCCATGATTCCTTGTTCATGAAGGCGAACTCGAGGGGAATAAGGTCCACGAGCTCGTCTGATGAGGCCTGGCAATTGGGTACGTCGAAGTCCAAGACATATATCCCGTTTATTGAACGGGCTCGACCGAGGTATTTGAATGACTCGGGAGTTGTGTCTGGAGGGGCATACGTGAGGATGAGGTCGCGAGTGGCAAGGTCCGTGTGTATTATGATGCCACAGTCGCGGAGTTGTCCAGCCGAGAGCAGATTGAAGCGCAGATTCGGGACGTAGAGCACGTCGTTGAATGAGATGTGTGTGTTGCTGTCTCGTGCTTGCAGGACAACGATGCCTTGCGCATTGGCGCGTAACTGCTCGTTGTTGGCGACGGTGACGTAGGTTGCGGGGGCGCGGCTCAGATTTGAGACGTATCGCGTGGATCCCACCATGTGCTGTCCGCAGCAACTGTCCAGGTACCAGGTGTTGTAGTTGTCGGTGTTGTTTCTGCGCAGAAGTAGCGCCAGTCGTGGAGTCACCAGGGTTGCTTTGTAGCGCCTGTGGAAGGAGGGGTCTTCTCGGTTGTCTGCGTAGAAGGCGAGGCGCTCTCAGCGCGGCGCGGAGCTTGTTCTGCTCGAATCCATGTCCTGCTGTTCGGACAGGAGTGCGGCGCATAGCGCGGCTTCTAAGATGATCCCTCGCTGTCGGAGTAGCGCTTTACAGGGCTTCCACTCTGGCCCGAGTCCTTGAAGGACTATGTTGACGAAAATTTCTTCCGAGATTGTACTCCCATGCTTCGTGAACTGGTCACGGATGTTACGATAGTAGTTAATATACGGATTCGCTTTCTCCCCGTGCCCCATCTTTATCTCCAAAAGTTGCTGCAGAAGCCTGCTGGCGGTGACCGAATCCTTCGGCTGGTAAACTTCAACGATGTGCTTCCAAGCTTCCAAGGCTGGAGCGTCGCTCTCTTTGTAGGAGCGAATGTTGAGTTGTTCCGCATGCGTAATGTTGCATAGCAACACACTGTAGGCCATGAGGGACTCGCTGTAGTACTGAGCCCTGGCGACTTCGGTGTTTTAAACCGGTTTAGGGTAGGAGCCGTCGAAGTAATGGTAGATCTGCGTCGTTTGTAGGAGGAGCTCAAGCTCGAAACTCCATGTGTAGAAGTCTTTGCCGTCAAACGCGGCAGTAGTTTTGATTTTTGAAACGCTAAGGAAGCGTGTTTGCGCAGAGTTGATAGCTTCATCACTTGGACGGGGGGCAGTTGTTGTTGATTTGTCTGTGTCGAGGAGAAGGTATGCGCGGCGGTATCACGACTTTTCTCAGCCGATTGTCCAGGTTGTACTGGTTGGGAAGAGGTTCCCGCATCGCCTTTGCGCAGGTCTTGGAGTTCTTTCTCCATAGTTGATAGTCGAGCGAAAAGTTGCTCGAGAGCGGCAGTGCCGATCGTGGTTGTCGCCTCATTTGTCGCAGCCAGGTTGGTTTGTCCTTCAGCCGTCGGATTTGCTTGGCCTCCGGATCCTCCGGCCATCTTGGACTTGGAGCGTGTGCCGCTCGCGAGATCTAAGATCGGCGAATTTCACGGAAGTGAAGTTGCGAATAATCCCTGAGTAGCTCTCATACCATGTTACAATCCCAAGTGGGACTTAGCGAAGGATCGCTCAGGGTTGATCGCAGAGTAGTGTTTGCAGCGGAAGTTTGAATCTCAGGTCAGAGTGAATGTAAATGACTGAGTTGATAAAATATGCATACATCGGGTTTATATAAGAATACAGGGGAATACGAAAAGACCTAGGCTAGCCATGTACTCTAAGGGGTACATTCCCTTATTGCAGCAGTTTCAAACCGTGCGGCGCGGGAACCCGTTTTGAACCCGTTCTCGCTCTTTTCACCTCAAATGTTTCTGCCTGCATCGGTCTTGGTCAGGCGGTTGCCGCTTCGCTTCGACTCTTCTGACTCCTCGACTTGGTACTCGGTAGAGTCGGCTCCTGCAGCATATACGAATGCCTTCTCATAAAACTTCATATCATAACATGAACTATCATGACTAAGGGTAGGTAACCCAGGCCTTCAGTTATCGACGTTAAAACTATGGAGAACCAGGTGTAACTTTTGGAAAGCTCAACAGAATTGCGATGAAAACACTGTACATATGTTCTCGTTTAGAGTCTGACGGAATGACACGCCGCGCGCAGACTATGTGCGAAAACCTTGTTTTGTTTATAGTCCGGTTTAAGGAAAATTTCATGCAGAGCACTTGTTTTGCTACTAGTTTTTGTTTTATGTATTTTACGTAGCTTCAGACCGCGCTTGCTGATTTGTGTCGCACGCACAGTTGACCGCGTTGATTAATGTCGCATGGCCAACGTGCAAAACAAAACAAAATCGATAATGTTTGGGGCATGAATAGAGGGTTTTTTTTTTGAACCCTGTAAGCGAGACAAACGAGTCGCCATCATCTAGCGCGCCGGGGACCGTGCGACAGGATTGAGAAGTAAGCACGGTTAATTAAATCAATTAATTTTAATTACCATGTTAAATATCGAATCGATGATCCCTTCTTTACCATTTTATTTGAATGTTGAGCTAGTTCGATCTGGGCCCTCTGATTGGCTGCGGAGCTGATTCGTGCAATGATTCAGTCAAGCTGCAGAATTTAGCGCCAAATAAGGGACTGTAGAGGTCGGTCTACACCTCGGGCGATATCGGGAAATTCAACTCAAGGGGGAAAAGGGACTCTTTTAGCGAGGGCCTATAACCCGGAACATTTGTACCGTGGACCCCGATGCGCTGTCAACTGTACACCCTATTCGCGATAATTGCACACCCCCTGCCTGTTTTTTTGAAGGTGCCCTATACCCATTTAGGCTCGATACGACGGACACCCTGAAACTCAGGGACTATCAGTCGACAGCGAGATGCAGTTTCTCTTGAAACTATACCATGTGTTCCGAGTGAGGGCGGGGTTGGGTCGGCGTGACTGAAGTTAATGCTTAAGTCTATTCGCGATTGTGTTTCGGAACGCTCACCAGCTATTCCATTTCGCAATGAACTATCCTGCAAGAAAGTTTGTATCCCGGGTATGTACCTCCAGGGTGCGCATTTATAGGGTGAGAGATTATCGCGAATAGGGTGCATATTCTAGTGGGGCAACTTCAAGTCAGGTATTGTAACGAATCTGGACACGGTCAGCAGGATTCAGTGGAAACGGAAAACGCTCACATCACAGCCACTGGTGCAAGCAAGCGGACTCGCATCGCATTCGAGGAAAATCGGACCATCGGAAATTTCAGGGACACACGAGACGAGCAGCCACTGGTGCAAGCAGACTCAGGTCCATTTCGAGGGTGTTTTACGTACGAACCGGGGGTTAGACTGCCGGATAGTTCAGGGGTTCAGTTATTTAGACCTCCGTCAACGACCTCGCTTCATACACGATTTCTGATTATGACAACGAACAGAGTCTCCTGAACCGCTGGAGAACACGCCTGGATTTTGTAACCGTTTTTTCCGCTGATCTCAGAGAGGCGAGGTGTGGTGTGGAGGTGACCACACCTGTAATATCTTTCATGTCACCAGTAATCTGCGGGATCCATGCGGCCGATGACCACAGATGCCAACGTGTACAGACTGGAAACTGTAGGGAGCACCTTCCATTTGTCATTCCGTGCAGGCGGACAACGTGCGGATCATTTTCATCCTACAAAAAACCAAACATGTGGACAGGAAAGTCGAAAACCAAACGTGAGGGGCAGGGCTGTCGATTGGTTTGGAGCAGGCCTATTGATTCACGGACATTTGTCCGTTTTCCCTGAGAATTCAGGGTTCGTTTCAGATCAGCTCGGAGATTTTCAGGGCTGGTTTTTCCCAGGCCCGGACTCCTAACGGGCAGGTTCTGGCCCTCCCCGGATTTCCCGTACCTGTCCCCCCCTCCCACCTCCCCTCCCCCCTTTCTTTCTGACCTTAGACCGCGAACTGGTCCCTCTCCCCTCCTCCCAGTAACACCACACCAGTCGCTCCCGTTCCCCTAACGTGTCTAGCTCGACTATCCTTTTTTTTTTAACGCAAGTATCCTCAAAGCTAAACAGAAATGCCCTGAATGGAAGTCCGCTTTCCGGATCCTTCAGGGTTGATTTCGGGGCAACTTAGCTTTGTACGGGTTGGACCCAGACCTAGCGACAGCCCTTGTTTGGAGCCAGAACTTGAGAGGCTGAGGTGCCCCAAAAGTTGCCCTGAAATTTACGGGCTGAGAGCAAACCTGGCACTTGAAATCAGGGCTACCAACTTTTTTGCACTTTCGCTAAGGAAACCCCACATCTCTTCGGGTCCGTTATCTTAGGCAAACTACTAAGAGCCAGCTAAGCAATAGGCTGAGGTACGAAACATGTCGATGGATTTGACAGGGATGGGAAAGTAGGGGAATGGCTGGGAGGAAGCGAGTGGACTGGTGAGGGAATGGAAGGGAGGGAGGTATTAGTATGGGACGATAAGGGCTAGTCGCGGGATCTGCACTTGAAATCCGGGTTAGGCCCACAACCAGCACTTAACGGGGACGGGCCGCCCTCAAATCCAACCCTTAAAATTCGGAAGCTGGGCCGAACCCAGCCCTTAATGTTCAGGGCATTAAGGGCATTTGCCCTTGAAACGTCAGCCCTGGTGAGGGGGAGCCATACTCTTTCTGTTCCGGTAAATTCCTTGGTAATCCATCAGCTGTCTCACGGATCCACAACCCGAAATTAATTACTCGGCAGGAGAAAACTGTAGATTCTATCAGCTCGAGATGCCTTGCTCCAAGACACCCTCGATTTCCCCACATAACACAGCGTATCACCGGTGTTATAATAGTCTCAGCGACGAAAAACCTCACCGCCGCATTCCCAGGTACCAGCATGGGTCTCCACTCACACATCGTCGTGCAAGAGCACGAGCTCTACGGTTTCCAATGCCGCGGGCTGTTCGCGCACAGCTTTATCGCTCAAGGCGAGGTCGTTTGCGATTGGGACGAAGGAGAGATTCGCGGGTACCACGCATCTGACTTATCAGCGGAACCCGATAAGGAGAAGCGCGAGACAATGATTCGTTATGCGTACATGGTCGGTGACGACTTGTACGACACGACAGCCGACCCCGAGGATGACCCGAGCTTTTATTACAACCACTCGTGCGACCCTAACACGTGGTACGCTAACCCACGTTGCATGGTCGCCCTGCGCGACATTCAGCCGGGCGAGCACGTCACGTACGACTACGCCTGCACGGAGACGGAGGGTAGCATGCACGCCGGCCTGCGCTGCCGCTGTGGCGCCGCGTGCTGCCGCGGAACGCTTAACTTCACCGAGTGGCGCTCGCACGACTGGCAGCGACGGTTCGCCGGCCACTGCTCGGCTTATATCGAACGGAAGATGGCCGAGTCGGGGTGGTACGACCCGCGCGTGGTGACTCGTTACAAGGGTCGCGGCGCGGACGCCTTCAAGGGGCTGTTCGCATTGGCGAGCATCCGACGTGGCGAACCGCTTCTCGTCTTCGCCGGCAAGCTTGTCGGCCTCGACTACCTGCTGGGAAGCGACGAACGCGTTCGGGAGCTCTCGCTGCGAGTCAACGATAACCTCTGGCAGGTGCCGGATCCGACGCGTGGGCCCGAGACGCCCGATTTCATCAACCACTCGTGCGATCCAAACTGCGGATTGGAAGACTCGGTGACGGTGGTGGCCTTGCGGAACATCGCGCCAGGCGAAGAGTTGAGCATCGACTACGGGAGCACCAACGCAGGCGTCGTCCGCACCAGCAGCGACAACTTCAGTTGCCACTGCGGCGCGTCGATCTGCCGCGGGGTAGTCACGTGCGACGATTGGCGGCTGCCCGAGCTGCGGCAACGACTATGGCCGTTCTTCCCGCCGTTCATCAAGCGGCTGATCGTGAGAGAGTCGGAGAAGTCGGACTTGAAGCGGTCTGAGAGTGATGAGTCGTGCGAGTCGATCGAAGGTGATGAACTGGCCTTCACCACGAAGATGAAGGTTCTGGGCTCAGCTGCTTGGGTGTGAAATCCGCACAAAATCTCCACGCGGCTTTCTGTAAAAATACTCGTGGAGCAGGGGAGGATGTTGTATGAGGATTTTGAGTGGCCTGCACCGCCTGAAAAGCATTGCATTCGAACGAAATCAGGTTGGTTCCAATGTCCGCTGGTATTCTAGTGACTAACCAGATCATAGGGTATGTATGCAACATACAATACCCCAAGTGACATGTCTAGAAATTGATTGATTAGTAACGGAGATGGGGAGGACAGATTAAAAATTCACCCCAATTTTGTAAGGTATGCAAGTTTGATGCTGTACTCAGAGGTGGGGAGAACAGAGATGTGGGGTACTGGGTGTCGGTACCGTATCCCCCCGGATATACCCCCATGGGGGGCAATAATAAAACAGGTTTTTTCATGGGGGTGGGCTTATAATCGAGTAAATTTATAAGCGCCGGCGTTTATAAAATGACATACATATTTTTTATATCTTTTAACACCAAACTGTAGGTCTCGTGCTTGCCTTTTCAATCGAGTCGAAGTTACATGGGATCGTCTGTGAAATTCTCGCGCGCGCTGGGAGATACACCCAATCTGACTCACATCCAGCTCCTGATAGGTCCTGCTGACTGGACCCGCATCCAGTGCAGGGTCCGAATGTGAAGGGAACCGAATCTGCAACATATCCGCCTGCTAAAGTAAAAATCGTTACAGCTTTTTGAACACATTTCAAATTTTAAAGTTTACGTGCGCTTATAATAAAACAAGTTTTTTCAAGGGGTGCGCTTATAATCGAGGAGGGGATATAAGCGCCATATGCCAATTAGAAGCGCCAGGCGCTTATCCTAGGGTGGCGCTTATATCCGGGGGGAGACGGTAGGTGGGTAGTCCGGAGGGATGACAGTGGGGGGTGTAGTGAAAGAGATCCCCAAGCCTACTTCCCCCCACTGACTGCTATGCTGAACAACACTGGGGGTAAATAAATAGTCTCGGGTTTGGGGTCCAAGCCTTATGCCACTTTCGGGAAATACCGTCATCACCCGGATATACCCCCAGGCCTATGTTACACTCATGCGGTTATAATCGGACTAGTGGGCTTATAGGCGTGTGTCGATTATAACCGCACCCTTTTTTTGTCTCATCTTAGGGTACATTCCGCTGTAGAATATGTCCCAATCGATGTGTCTCAATCGATTGGGACGCGTACGGCCAGCATAAGCTGCCAGGTGTCGGAATGCCGTAGCGCTCGTGAAGGTCGCCGACTGTAATTATCATTGGGTGGCGTGATTCTCGGAACTGTCGCCAGCTAATTGCAACACTACCCAGCAATCGCACGCGGCCCCAAATGTCATCCCATGCATAATGTATCTGGACCACATTTTGCGACACCCAGTTTCCCCCCAAACGCGTTCGGAGCACCCTCATTGGAGGAAACGAACCGCGCAGAATTATTGACAGGGACGCGCACAGCCCCGCCAATGTGCCCTCCCCTCGTCCCCGTGCACCTCCGCAACAACTCCTTCTCTCAAACCAGTCAACGTTGTGCTCCGTGTGTGAAATTGTGCTCTATCATCTTCAACCATCGCGATTAGCTCTAGATCCAGATCTGAAAGCGAGCCCACCGCAAGCATGGCTCGTAAGCGCAAGGGGCATGCTCTTAATGACTGCCCCAAGGACTTAAACGAAATCCCGTACATCCGTTGGATGAACCAACAAATCGCCAACGGCCGTCACCCCAGGGACTTGTCCGCGCCACCCGTTCTTGACGGCCAGGGGTCTACTGCACCGTCGCCTACGGCTGGGCCGTCGCGTATGCGTCGTCAGCCTACCAGGACGGCGGCAACACACCGGCCCGCCGTGGAGGAACACGTAGCAGATGACGACGACGACGAAGGCGACGACGACTTTGCCTCCGACGACGAGGACGACGAACCTGAGGACCAAGGAATGTCGCCCAGCGACGACGACGACGAGGAGGACGCCGATGACACCGAGGACGACGACACCGAGGAAGCACAGCCGCGAGCCCCGCCGCCGAAACGGAAAACCGCACGCAAGGCCGCGTCTGATAAGGGCAAAGGCAAGGCGGCGCAACCTGCAGCGCGCCCGGAGCCGCGTAAGAAACGGGCTGCTGCACCTGTCGAGCGCGATTTATGGTCTGACAAGGAGAGCACCATCTTCGCTGCGGCAAAGTGGTTTCTCAAGGAGGAGCTCGAGCCCCTCAAGGGGAAACAGGGTACCCAGTACTGGGCGCGGCTACTCGCACATATCAAGGAGTCGAACCCCGGATGGATCCGGGGTGTCAACGCGCTCCAGAAACAGTGGCGTAACCTAATAGTGCTATGGCGTGAGTATAAGAAGGCCGACGAGGGGTCGGGCAACGGCTCCGTGGAGAAACCACCTTGGTACTCGTACGTTGACCTGCACAACCAGGACACCGCCGCAGCCGCACCTCATGCCGTGGACGGAGGTGGCGCGAATAACGTCAACGTCCCGGCAGGCATGGAGGTTCCGCAATCGTCCCAGCCAGGCACGTCAACCCCTTGTTTCACTGGTGAGTCCGGAGATTTATCGCTCGCGTTGTGGTTCTCGTCCACGTTGTTTCTTGAACATTTTAATAAAAAAAAAAACATGCATGCAACGCACACCGACAACGGGTTATTCTATGTGCTAACACTAATGCGAATGTCCCTGCTATGTCGCAGCTCCTCCGCCAACGACTCCTGCCACACCGAGGCGTGCCCGGGTGCATGAGACGGCCACCATGCAAGCGGCCATGCTCGTATCTGCCACCATCAAGGACTGCCATGGCGACGCTATGAACCGCATCGAAGGCCTCGTCCGTCAATGGATGGCGCAAGATCTCAGACTTGCCCGTGAGCGTATGACAGAGTCGGCTCCCCCGGATGTGCACCGCACGCCCCATGAATTCTCTCCACCGCCGCCACGCGGGGAGTCCGCGCCTGCTCCCGAAACCGCACGGACGCGTGTGGACGAGGGCGACGGCGACACCGCTATGTCGGCGGATGAGGATGTGGAAGTATGGGTTCGCGGCGCCGACGATTAGCGTAAGATGACTGCAGCGCCTCCCCTAGTCGTTTTCGCCTTTCCCTGAGTGCTTGTTGTGTAGGGGGATCGCACGGTTCCCATTTGAATGCCGCGACAGCACCCCGCGTCCACCACGGATCTCGGTTGCGTGGTATGTTCGCCCATGCCATGTTGCGCCGCCTGACATCCTGCATGTCTTCACACATGTTGTGCAGGATGATACAACACGCGGCCCCGGCGAGTAAGCGCCACAGCCTGCAGTCGTTGCGCTGGCCGAAGATGCGCCATCTCCCCTTGAACGCGCCAATGCATCTCTCGACGGCCATGCGTGTGGCGCTTTGGCAGTAGTTGAAAGTTTGTGCCCAGTCGTCCATGAGGTCCTCTCCTCGTGGGGCATGCAGGGGTGTTAGGCAGTACTCCCGTAGTGGGTAGGCCGCATCGCCAACGATCTGGTATGGGGCTATGTCCCCGTTCTGTAACCGCTCAAGTAATGCAGACTCCTTGAAAACACGCATGTCGTGAGCGCTACCGGGATACCCGATAAGGTAGTCCCATATTCTCCCTCGTGCGTCACATGTGACCTGGAGTTGTACAGCATATGCAGATTTCCTTGTCCAGTATTCTGTCCTGTGCCCCTCCATCCCCTTCATGTGTATGTGAGTGCTGTCCACAGCACCCACCACAGCAGGTACACCCTTGACGGCTGCAAACTCCCGCGCCATCTCTGGAAGCTCTTCACGGGTGGGGAACCGCACCCAGGCGGCCTTGAAGACGGAGGGGAAGTGCGAGAGGAACACGTCGACCACCTCGTGGCAGAGAGTTTTGGAGATGCCGAACAGGTACGAGATGTCTACGTACGATATTCCAGATGCCAGGTATTTGATAGGGATCAGCACTGCAGTGTACATGGTGAGTATGGATCGTTGCACAATCGGCTCAAGGTAGTGTTGCATCCCTGCCACAATGTGCTCCAGAATTGAACGGTTGATCCTGAAGAGATCCTGAAAGTCGTTCTCGCGCATGTGTTGCAGGTCTTCAACCCACAGAGCGTGTTTCCGCTTTCGTATCCGCGCTCTATGACGGCGGTTGTCGCCGTAATCGCTCCCGCAGGACGAGGACTGCTCTTCGTCGTCCTCGAAGACGCCAGACTCTATCAGGCCTACGAAGCTCTTGGAGACATTGTCGTGGAAGATTGTGTAGTAGTAGGTTATCCAGGCGACGAGGAGCCGTAGGATGAATGGGATGGTTCGTGGCTCAGCCATGTCTGGTGGACAGTGCGCGCAAGCTGTTAATTCCAGTACGTGTGTTTGTGGTTTATACTAGCTCCTTATGTCTGGTGCATACCACTATAGTACCAGATGTCGCAATTATTGGCAGCGCGGCTATGTTGTGTATCTTCGGGGAGTGCGCCGAGGGGATTTGTGTTTCCCCCAGTTGACGGGGTTCGGGGGTGTTTGTGCTTTTGGCGGGAATGTGGGCCAGGATGGACGGTGACCAATCAGCAGGGGTCGCTGATAATTTTCGCATCACACGGATGAGTCGCAATACATTGATCGATTGGGACATGCAGATTCGGGAAAATTGGGCGCGGCTCGACGGAAAGTGGATTGAGACATATCGATTGTGACATAAATCCACAGCGGAATGTACCCTTAGGATAAGCCCACCCCCTTGTGCCTGGGATAAGCCCACCCCACAAAACACTCTGAAATGACCGTTTTGGCAGTAATCTCTACATTAATAACTAAACAGAACCTACACAATTTCTATCCTAGTCATTTTTAGATGCCTAGCTACGGTATCTTGGCCCTAATCCTTTTCCTAGCCGTCTAGTGGTAGCGGTCGGCGGTGGGGTCATCCAAATCCTCCGCCTCACCATCCTCCCCATCGGACTCGGGCTCCTCCACGTTGTTTCCAAAGAAGCCGTCCGCGGCCACTTCGTCATCGACGTCGACAGACACGGGTTCACCGTTCCGGCGGTGCTGCATGCACAGGTTGTCCTGGGAGCCATCGAGGGCGTTACTGATGCCACACGTGAGAAACGCCTTTTGGATGAGAGCTGCAGGCACTGTTCGCCATGCCTTCGCGATCCACTTGAGCGTCTGCTCTGGTGGGGGCTTCCTAAGGTTGCCTGCGCGCAAACAGAGCATTCATGGTTAGCAGAGCAAGTAAACCCAACGACACATGGCCAACGCGACACACACGCCCTCGCGACACGTACCTTTGGCCGTGCGGGTTTCGATGCCCTCGCTTTCGAACCACGCCTGGTACTGTTGTCGCACGGAGGCCTTGAACGCGCGGTTTACAGACACGTCGAGTGGCAGCACCTCAGACGTGCAGCCAGCAGGGATCACGGCGGGGACGATGCCGAGGTCAGAGTACTTCTGCCTGACCGCATCGGTCAGGTGTCCGCGATAGGAGTCAAGGATGAGAAGCGTCCTGCGTGCCCGACGTCCGAAGGCCGGCCTGGTGTATGGACGCACCGCCTCGTCGAGCCATTTGACTACGCCGTCAGCGTCCATCCACCCTTTCGGCTGCGCGGCGACCACAACATCTGCCGAGCGACAGTGCAGACAAGAAAAGGTCAGTTAAGCACAAGACAGGGTGCATATTAATGTTCAGACTCGCTACGACTTACCAGGTGGGAAGTCGCCCCGCGGTGGCCGCTTTCTCTTAAAGAAAACCCACGGCTTCAATTTCTCCCCCGAAGCCGTGCACGCTAGCATTACCGTCACTCTCTCCTTCTGGTATCCGGCGCTCCGAACCGGCACGGACCGCGCACCGACCTCTTCGAGTGTTGTTTCAGCAGGCATCTCAAGCCACAGGGGTGTCTGATCCGCGTTGATTATGTAGCGCGGTTCGATGTCGTAGTTGCGACGTGTGTGACGGAGGAACCTCCAGAAATTTCGAATCTGAACTTCGCACTCTGCAGAAGCACACAACACAGAACAACGTTAAGGAGAGTAGGTGAATTCAGGTGCCGGTAATCGGAATCGGCAGGCGAAAACATTCAACGGAGGGTACTCACGATCAGAAAGTTTCTGCCCGACTTTCGTTTTAGCTCGAACCGAAAGGTTCCACCGCCGACGGAAGCGCTTCGTCCACCGGTTTGACCCCTTCCACACGACGTCGGGATGCAGCTCCTTCATGGATTCGTGGGACCACTGCTGAAGCCTCCCCACAGACACAGCCACGCCCTTCGCGCGTGCCGCCAGGAGCCGTGTATACACCTGCGTCTCCATGTCAGGGTACCAGGAGGATCGTCCGTGCCCGTGAAGACGTCTCCGACAACTCGCGGCAGCCTCCAGCGCTTTGCGTTGTGTGACCCATTCGGCTATCGAACGCCTGGAAATTCCGGATTCGCGCGACACTTCGCTGACGTTGTGGGTGGCTCCGAGGCGCTCAACCCACTTCAGCTTCTCGCCGGCGGTGTACGAATGCCGTTTACGTGTGGTTAACTTGCTTCTGGGGGAGGGGGGACGGGCATCTCGATTTGCACGTGAGGGATGCGGGCGTTTACGGTTAGGAGGGGGAAACGAGGGGATGGGGAGGTGTTCAGGGAGACCGTCACGTGACCAGTATTCCACGCCATCGTCGTCGCCCTCTTCAGGTTCTGGCCAGTCGTCGTCGTCTCTCCATACACGCTCCGGGTGCGGGACCTCTTGGTTTTCTGCAGAGCCTCCAGTCTCAGCAGTCTCAGAGGTGTTGTCAGCACCGGTTGGCTCGCTCGCGTGGTGGGCTGGGGCAGCATCTGGTGAGAGCAGGGTTAGTATGGGCTGACCTTGCATAAACACGGCTGGAAAAGGGGGAGAGGGAGGAGCAGGTGGCGCCGGCGGGGCTGGTGGCGCTGGCGGGGCTGGCGGCGCTGGGGGAGCAGGAGGAGCAGGAGGACATGGGCGCTGCCATGGGTCAGCGTGGCGGCCACGGCAAACACCAGGTGTAGGAGGTCTTCTAAAAAGAAACGCCGAGGCAGGTAATCCTGCCATGGCGTAGGCTATGGGACGGGAGGCGGAGGAAGCATGAAGGCTTTGAAATAATGAAATGAGGAGGATTCTGGCTACCACCTCAAGACCCCTGCGAGAAAGGCGGCACGGGTTCCTCATCGGTAACACCCGGGCATCGACCTGGTCCTCGCAGAGGAACCAGGTGTCAAACAAGGAGGCATGGAAGGACGGGAATCTCTTGCATTCCCGTCCTATTCGACCGCCCTTTCACAAACCCTGCCTCGTTGGCAGAGATTCCCTGAACAGGGACACCTGAACCCGCCGCACACCTCAATCCAGCACCCGCTGGCCTCAGCATTCGCCGCCTGTAAATTCGATTGGCCAGACGTGGGCCAGACTGGATGCGTTGGCACCCAATTTTGCCATATTCTCGAAGTTTCGACCACGTGACCGACTGTGCCCACCCCGCTAATGAAACCGCTAAGGCATTCTGTACATTTTCATGGCCCTTACACTAAATTTCATAAATGTCATTTATTTACCCCATGGGGTTATAAAATTTACCACATTATAAGCCCACCCACCATTTTTCCAAGTTTTATTACACCCCCACCTGGGGGTATATCCGGGTGATGACGGTAGAAGCCTCTGGTGTAAATAAAGCTTACGTAAATTGTGTTGGGAACAAATAAGTTAAGCGCCCCTGTCGTGTCGAAACTCAGGACACAAAGCGAAGAAGTCCAAATCGAAGCATCGCGAGTCAACCCTCGGAGGTTAGGGTAACCGCCTGGAGGTTACGCGAAGGTCAAAGGTCAGCGACCTTTGACTTGACCAATACAGCGCGACAGCAAGGACACACAACTGACTCGACATTGAGCAGTTGCCCGAGTCGCACTGTATCGAATCGCAACAGCAAGGTAGTTTAATTACATCTATTCGTATTCCTTGTACTCTTATATAAAGCTTTGTATTTGCCTGTTTTAATTAACTTACTTTGCCCTCACATACCAGCGCAAGGTGGTTCAAGGCTTTCGTATTCAACGCTTCCGCTATTACATCATCCTACTCAAACTTT